AAAAAAAAAAAAAAAAAAAGTTGCTATCCTGATATCTAAGCTAGTAACTGTTCAGCAACATGATGCATGCTGGAGAAGGAGTTGGGTTTCAGAGGACATGTGGTTGGCTCATGCTACTGTTTTTGTAGATCACAACATTGGTTATAAGGGTAGGTGTGGTGGCGCATGCGTGTAATGTCAGCACATGGGAGGCTGGGGTAGGACAGCCTGGGCTACACAGTGAGCCCTCATCTCAAAAAACAAAATGCAGGGCCAGGAGTTTAGCTCAGTGGTGCTACCGACTGCTTCGGAAGCGCCAAGGTCCAGAGTTCAATCCCTGGTACTAAAAAAAAACAAGCAAGGTCTGGTGGTGAACTCCCATGATACCAGCTACTTGGGAGGCTGAGGCAGGAATGTCTATAGACTATGTAGACTCTGTCTCAAAAAATAGTATCTTAGACTTCAGCCTAGTATCTAGGTACACACATCCTTCTTTTTCCTCTTTTATTCCAGAGACTTCAGACTTACACAAAGATGCAAGGATAGTGTGTTAAAAACCCATTTGGTTTACCGTTAGGTAATGTTTTGATGTTTACTCATCTGTATGTGTTTTTGCCCATTCACTTGAGAATAGCAGTGGATAATAAACAGTTTACTCCTAAATTCTTCAGGCAGGATACTTTCTCCTGCATAACCACGATGTATCAGGGAATTTAGGACTGATGATGTATGATCTAGAAACCTAATGTATAGCTTGAAGTCTATAGGTAGTACCGTTTTTGTCCTAGGGTGACAGACGTGCGCTACCATACCCAGCTGGCCATTATTCCTGAGTGTAGCTTGAACAGTCTATGGTTAAGAATAAACACAGGAGGACCAGGGATTTAGCTCAGTGGTTCCGCCACCTGCTTCTCAAGCTTAAGGTCCCAAGTTCGATCCCCGGTACCAAAAAAGAAAAGAATAAACAGGAGGCTGATGTCAGGCTCATTTTGGCATCCAGCAGTGTCCTGCCTGATAGGAAACGAGGTGAGTCTTGGGAGCCCTTGGAGGTGCTCTCTGTTGAGCAGGTCTCATACGGATGTGTTTGGAAAGGAGAAATGAGTGCCGGGGATGTAGCTCAGCAGTGCAGTGTCTGCCTGGCAAGCTCAAGGCCTTGATTTTGATTCCCGGTACCAAAAAAAGGAAAAGAAGATGACAAATGAAAGTAGACAATATCAGGGCCTTTGATGATGTGAATCCCCAGACTTCTTGCTCCCCTGGAGGTTTTACTGGTCCCCCATGGAAACACCACTGTGTGCTGGCCTTGCTGCTCTCTTTCCCATCCTCAGCTCACCCTCTCACCCTGGAACTGCAAGAGTCTGCAGTGGGTAAGGAGCACGAAGCTGACTCCCCAACTGACCCTGGTCCCTGCATGGAAGTGTCAGCACCAGTCCTATTCAAGAGGAGCCGAAGCCGGGCATGCTGGTGCATACTTGTAATTCTAGCATTTGGGAGGCTGAAGCAGGAGGATCTCGAGTTCAAGCTGCTCTTGGGTTTGA